ATTTTATTTTTTTTTTTAAAGATTTTATTTATTTATTTGAGACAGAGAGAATGAGAGGGAGGAGGGTCAGAGGGAGAAGCAGACTCCCCGCCGAGCAGGAAGCCCGACGCGGGACTCGATCCCGGGACTCCAGGATCATGACCTGAGCCGAAGGCAGTCGCTTAACCGACTGAGCCACCTAGGCACCCCTCAACCTTGATTTTAGCCCCTTAATTCTATCCAACCAAACTCAGTGTCTACACAGGGGCACTTGCTGGCAGCTTGGGTTAATTTTTTCCTTGTAGATAAACATCATGACATGGTTTCTGGATAAGGAATAGGAAACATTTTATATGTCTTCTGTTAGCCTGGATTACAGGACAAGTCCTGAGAGAATTTGGCTCAATGGGAAAATACCTTTCTACATAGCTTCTTGTTTTATCATCTTGAGACTGACTATGTCCACACAGGGAAAACCATCTGGAGGATAACTGGAAAATCTAAAAAAAAAAGTATTTCACGTTTCCAGCTACATATGTATCTGCCTGTATGGAGAAAAGAAAACCAAACACCAAACAGAGAATTACTAAAAATTTCCTCACCAAAATTGCTGTCCCTCAGCAATTCCTTTTTTTTTTTTTATATGAATTAATAACCAAATGCTTCTCTCTAAGGGTACTGATTAGGTCAAATCAAGTGGAAATTTCCATCTTAAGAAGACCAAGTCCCAGACAACCCACCCGGAGCATAGTTCCATTTAACAATTCCCTGGCCTCTTGTGTAGAGTAGACATTTCATGCAACATGTTGAAAGGCTGGGTCCACACTCTCCATTCTGCTCTATCATCCCGCATGGACAGATGGGTCCACAAATAATGACTGAAAGATCTAGTGTTAGAGTTGGTGAGGTGTAAAGTATTGGCTGAGCCATTTGTGATTAATAAAGCATGAAGTGTAAGTTGCTCAGCAGCCTTCAAACAGCTTCTGTACAATGTGACAATTAGCTAAAATGTGAGAGCAAGATCCATGAGATCTGCAAGCAAAATTGCAGACTGCTAAAGAGTAACACCATGTATTTTCCACCAGGGAACGTGGTTAAGCATCCGAGAGGACAATCCAAGAAAAGTTCCATCTCTAGCAAGTGAGAGTACCCACCTAATTCTTTAACATGTAAGTGTAAAGACTACTGCTTTCTAAGAGATTAAAGATTTCTTGTCAAGACAGTGAAAATCTCGGCTTCTCTGTTGCCATTTTTCATGTGCTTCATGCTTCCCTTTTTGCATAATTTAAGTGAGCTGTGCTGTTATGTCTCATTTCATTTATGGAGAGTTTTGTAGTCATCGAGTGTTTGGGGGTATTTTTTGCATTGAGTCAAAAAGCAAAGCGGCTTATAAGAAAGAAAGGCAGGTCTTTAAAAAATGTCTTTTCTCTTAAGAAAAGAGCATTGTTCAAATAGACTAACAGTACTCAGCCCGGTTCTCACCTTTAATATGCCTTTTTTTTTAATGTTTTTATTATGTTAATCCCCATACATTACATCATTAGTTTTAGATGTAGTGTTCCATGATTCACTGTTTGTGCATAACACCCAGTGCTCCATGCAGAACGT